CCCCAAACCTGCCCCAAACCTGCCCCCAGCTCTGTAACAGGGAGCTGCTGGTGCCCGTGCCCACACCCTGACAGCAGGAAGGTCCCCGGGCACTCGGCTCTGCCTCGCCCACGGGCACTGGGAGGTGCTGGGGGATGATGTGGGCACAGGAGCTTTCCCCTCTAAGCAATCCCACTCAGGGAGGGAAGGAGGAGAACCCGCTCCTCCAGAGCCCATCCAGCTGTTTCTGCTCCAGGTGGGACCAACCCTTCCTCCAGCAGCTCAGTGGTTGCTCCCAGGAGGAGCCTCATGGCCACGCTGCCCGCAGCACAGGGGAAACGGGGCAGCACCCTGGGGCTGGGGGTGCCAGTTGTTTGCTAATTAGCACTAATGACCCCAGTCCCCGACTGCTGCCAAGAGAAACGTCCCAGAGCCAGCCAGGACAGGGACAGGTCTCACATCCCTACTGGCCATGTCATACTTTTAATGGGACTCACCACGTACCTCACTCCAGTTCCCAACCTCCCAGCTGGGCTTGGCAGGGGCTGCTGCGGTGGGCGATGGTGGAAGCAGAGCCTCCTCCTCCTCCTCCTCCTCCTCCAGCCTCTTCTCCCAGAGCGGGGGGGACAAAGGGGTGGGCTGGGACAATTCCTGCCCCCCGTCACTGGTATCAGGTGTCCCTGGGGGTGCCCACAGTGAGGGTTCCTCTGTTGATGTCTCTGGGGGTGCCCACGGTGAGGGCTCCTCTGTTGATGTCTCTGGGGGTGCCCACGGTGAGGGTTCCTCTGTTGGTGTCTCTGGGGGTGCCCACGGTGAGGGTTCCTCTGTTGGTGTCTCTGGGGGTGCCCACGGTGAGGGTTCCTCTGTTGATGTCCCTGGGGGTGCCCACGGTGAGGGGTCCCTCGGTGCAGGGACGCTGAGTGGGGTCCCATGGGAGGTCAGCTCAGTGCGGGGCGATGCCAGAGCCGGGTGCTGGGACTCCCCCTCTGTCCCCCATTCCAGGGGGGACCCTGCTGTGTGGGCAGGTGGGCCACGAGCTGGGGCTGTGGGCACCATTGGGACCAGGGCATCCTGCTGGCTGAGGCCACTGGAGGTGAGCTGGGCTGGCCCGGGCACGGCAGGGGACAGGGACACTGGAGGGGCTGTTGTGGCCACCGAGGGGGTTGAGGTGGGGGCTGTGGGGGTGTGGAGCTCTGGCTGGTGCCCTCCCTGTCCCACAGCATCTGCCCTCTCCATGCCGTGGGATTGCCCTCCTGCCCGCGTGCCCAGCATCTCCATCCCTGCCCACCCGTGCTGCTCGCTGGGCCGTGGGGCTGCACCCCTGGGGTCACTGCTGGTGGCCAGAGCCATTTCCCCGGAGTCCC